ATCTTTCGCTTCAGCTTAATTAAACGTTTCATCTTATTCCTATCGTCCTATCGGGTTTTCGTGAATTTTCCGTTGGAAAAGGTCGTGGAGATGTACGGCTTAATAGAATGCACACTTGACACGTATTGCCGTGCGCGGTTTCGAGAGGCGTACAACGACCGAGCGGCAGATGAAAGACGCGCGTGAAATGCACGGAGGAAGTGTCATTGAGATTGGAACGCGTTAAACGCGTCTGCGGAATCAGAAAGACTTTCGTTTCAATCACCTATCCATTATTCCTTCCTGTCTATCGTTAGATTTTTCAAACGTTCCATATATGTCGCAAAACGAGGCTTGCTCGTTCCGACGAATTGATCGCTCGGAGCAACAATTGAAACGTCCAAGGATCGAGCGGAAACTGTCGCGTTGTTTCGGTTTGAAACGCAGGCCGGAACAGGTTGGAAAGAAAGAATCGGGAATGTTTAGCGGCGTGATTAAGCGAACTTTAGAAGGAAGGAATGCGTCAGACGAAACCGATCAACCTTCGGCTCCGTTCGCGAATTACCCCCTGTCCGCGAGTTTCGCGTGTTTTCGCGATTAAATGCCTGCGTTGTCGCATTCCGGACCTCTGCGTCGTGCTCAATTCCTGCGGACTCGTCGCGAATTTCGATCGTCCAACTTTCGGCTACTTAATTCTTATTGCATTTCTTTCCACACATCGCAATTTTATACGTTTGCCTGCCTGCGGAAACGTCTTGGTACGCCAAGTATAGGTTAATTTTCACCTGCTCGAAAGATAACCACCGATCTTTTCCTCTCGAACAGAGCTTCCCTCGTGCTCGTCTCGCCGCATCCTACGCATGTATACTTGCTACAATTAAATACAATATTTACCCAGCTGGATTGCCTCGTTGCGATTAAGCAATCCTCCGTAATCCCGCGCAAGATCGAGCAAAGAGTGCGTGGGATTGGCTTTCGTCACGTAACGCTCGAAAAGCGTCGTTCCTACGTTCAAGAAACGTTTAACGCCGAATGGAGAGTGTCCATTCTCGCGCTGTACGAAACATTCAGACGCGCGGTGGTCCGAGTAACCGAAACTTTTCCGTTCGCAACTTTCATAGTTATATATAGTTTCATAGAGAACTCGCGAAGGACTCGCTTTGTGGTCATTCTCGACGTTTATTCTTCCTCTTCCGGTGCCATCTCCTAATGGAAGCTGTCGAGTATTCGAGGAAACTGTGCCAAACGAGCCCAGCCTGTCCCTTCTGTCTGGTCTCGCCAGACAGTCGAGATCTGGATTACTCTGTAAACAAAGCATCGTCGAACTTGGGAAGAGAGAGAGAGAGAGAGAGAGAGAGTTTACAGAATTTTCTTATCAAGTTCTATTCGTAAGATTCGCCGGAGAGCAAAATCCTTCCGGTTCTCTTCCCTTTGTTAATTTAAAGAGCGAACGCGCTCTATGCGACGCGGAACGAGGACACTGTTCAGCGTTTCTGATAGGAAGAGAGGGAAAATGGTATCGCGGCCGAGATAAAGTGTCAATAAACCTATTTGATTTCGGTGGGACGGAGCCATGGGATCAAACCGTAATCTTTCAATCTAACAATCTACTAGCGCGATCCAGTGTGTTTCTAGCTGCGTTCCCGCGTATTGTTTCCTTCGGCGATTAGCATTGTTGCGAACTAGCGCAATTGTCCCAAGTGCCCACTGCGCTCCTTTCCTCAACTTTACCACCGTTTTTCCCAATTCTCGAGAACGTTGACAAAGACGTTCTCCTTCGATTTCGCTGGAGAACCTGCTTAGAAATCCTGTAGCGTTGTCGGATTTGGAAAATCTTCATATTGAAACGGAGGCCCGTGTAGTTTTCCTGGTGAAAGGAACAGGAAAAGCTCGCGTGGCCCGTTCGACTATTCACAGGGACTGTTTCGGATTTCGGAGGATGAAAGCTCTCGCAAGACGTCCACGAGCTGAGGATAACCCGGGAAATTTAAGACCGTGAAACGGATTATATCGTTCTTCGCAAACCAGGATTAGCCCTGTAATATAGAAACTCTCGAGTGACGTTAAACGCGACACGGAGCTTCGTAATTCAAGCGACATACGCCAGAGAGTCTATCGAATACGAGATAATCTCGTCTGTTATCGAACGTGTTTATTAATACAACTACTCTACGTGCACATCGCTAGTAATACGTACTTCCACGTGAAAAACAGCCGTTTTTTACGACCGTCAATCGACAGCGATTAAATTCAAAGGAAAGAAAACGATTTTTGCGTAATTGCTCGCGTAATCGAATTCGATGTTAGTTGCAATCGGCAGTCTCAGCCCTAACTACCAAGGGTGTAACTCGTCTCTTTTCTCACTCTCGATAAATTGTTTTGTCGGTAACCGATCTAGGCGTTCTCACGAGATATGGGAAATCTGATTCCTTATCGGCTGCTCGGACGATTGCGTTTCACGGCAGGCTGTTGTGTAAGTTACCGTCAAGGCCAGTTTTCCGATGTTCCGCACTCTTCCCTTATTATTTTCCTCCTCTCACGACTTTCGCGTCTAATTTCAACTTTCCTTCGTCCTCGTCTCGACGGTGTATCCGGATTTCAATTCGATTCCCTTTTCCTAAATAGCGCGAGGTGAACTTGAATTTCTTCCTTGGTCGGTCGCGTCGCGCTTTGTTCGTTCTCGCTATTATCGGGGGGAGGGGAAAAGGAGACGAAGCATAGAGCGAAAGAATGTGTCACACGATAGCCCGATAAAATGCTTCCTGGCAGTGCAACGGAACTTCCAAAGTTTCGCGATTGCTCGTTGACAGCTCGTCGAAACTTGGCTTTGCTTCCTTCTTCGTCGAACGTGAAGGAATTTTTGCGGAAAAACGATTCACCGGAGTGTGTAAATGGTATACCTGAGCCCCGAAATTATCGCGGTGGAAAATCGGAGAAGCCGCAGACCTTATCGTTGGTCCTCCCTCTCGTGGTTCGGAAAACTCTCGGAAGCGGAGGGTCTCGTTTATCGATTACTCCGGACTGGTAGGAACGCCACTTGGAGCAATTCCCCGATAAACTGATTTCGTTTGCCTTTCAATTCCACCGGCGAATTCTCCGCGAATGATACATCGCCGAGGAACGATGCATTCCGCGATATTGAAAAACCGAAGGGAGGCTGGAAGGACGAGTCTTCGTCCCCGTGTACAAGGGAGAGACTCGGTTCGAAAGATGAAGAGAGGGTGACGTTCGATCGGCAGATGTCATTGTTTACGGTTTCTTCGGGGTTCATCCGTGCCTTTGTACCGATGCTTCCAGGCCTGGCCACCCCAAAGCCATTACCGTTCCCCTGTAGTTAAGCTGCGAGCATTTGCTGAGCATTTGCTGAGCATTTCGACACGCCTCAGTCCACCACGTGTCCTTCATTCGACAGGCCGGTCCTATATTGCGGCGAATCCTCCGAGGAACGGTTGTACTCCTCTTCGAAGCACTTGGCCGAATTGATTCCGCGAATAATCAAGGTAAAACGTGCCGTAGGAGTCTGTCGCGAATAAGAATCGTCAATTATGTAATTTCCTTTGTTTCGTTTAGAGGCTAAGATAGGTGACGGCTCGACGCCGTATCGCGGTACATTGTACGCAAGTAAAAGCCGATAAAGTACGGTCATTTAGCGGGTATCAACCCGTGATCTCGTTTACTTATTCATTTATGCATGCACGCGAGGCAAGCACGCACGCACGCGCCCGCTCTTACTTCCTTTCCTCTTCCTTCCCCTTGATTAACCTGTTCCTGTCGTTCGGCTTTACTTTTGGAAACTGTGTCAGAAGAGGGGATCGATAGTTGGCCACGAGTTCGAATCTGCTAATCAAATTTCCTTATTTATTCCCTCCGTTTGACGAAATTTTCTGGCAACCGCAGAGAGCAGCAGGCCTTTGCCTCAAGTTCCAGTCGAACCGATTCCGTATCTCGACCAGGGGATATAACCGTACAATCGATCGTTGGACGAAAGGAAAGGTCGCGCGAGCGTCCCATTATTCGGCGCACGACAGAGGGTGTCCCCGCCTGCACATCCGAGGGAAGGAGAGGCAGTTTCCACGTCCGATCCCCCGTCGCGAATGCTTTACACGAGGGAAAGGGAGTTATCGATTTAATTCACGGGGAAAAACCGTAGGGTCTCTCCCTATTTCTTCTCCATCGGGACAGGCTTTGTCGGAAGTCTTCTAAAACGCGATAATGCGAAATGAACGTCTGCAGACGGTGTGTGGATACATAGGTGCAGAGTACAAGGATGTACGTAACGTAAATAACGATAAGTCTTGTGCGTTATTCGACGCCAAACATCGTTCCTTTATCTCGTACATTTTATAGAAGCCCGGGTTTGCGCAGCGTTTCAATCTGACGAAAGTCTCGTCGCAATATCTCCGGTTATTGTTCGCGACTGTGGTGGGCGAGCAAACGCGTAACACACATTCCGCGTCGCTCAGAGACGCGGTACACTCATTCAGATGCGTCTCGCGTGCGTTTCTCCGCCGGAGGACCGGAAGCTGGCTCGTCGTGCGTGCGACGTCACGCGTATCCGGTGCCCCGGAGTTCGTTTATCGAGGCCTGACACTTCCACGAAAGGACTCCGACCGATCCTCTTCTTTCCGTCCCTTACCCTTCCTCGCCCATCGTCGCCCATCGGCAATTTTCCAGTTCCACGGATAAGCGTTAGATTGGCCGACAGAAAAATCGTATCGCGTGGAGAAGATCTCGCTTCCTTCCCAGCGGGCCATCTGCGCCGCCAATCATAATATTTGCAAAGCGAGCTCTGGCACACGGCTAAGAGGCCCAACACCGCGCTGTTAGTTAATCCTCTCTCTCGTTTGCAGCTGTTTACAATTGGCGAGGCGACACGCGGTATGGTCTCCCCTTGGAAATCGGAGAAACCGTGCAGATCCTGGAGAAATGCGCAGGTAAGCGGAGAATATAATCTTCGGCGTTAGCTTGAAATCGATCGACACGCGAGACACGCTGTATCGCTTTTTTGCAGGCTGGTACAGGGGTTTTTCGACGAAGAATCGCGCGGTCAAGGGAATATTCCCTAGCTCGTACATCCACCTGAAACCATGCAAGATCGAGAACGAGGGTCTCTTCGAATCGGTCATACCTCTGGAGGACCCAGTGGTCAGGGAAGTCACCCTTGTGCTGCGAGAATGGGACGGTATTTGGAAGAGACTCTACGTGGTGAGTGGAGATACTTCCCTACGCTACACTCTTCTTCCGTCGCCCTTTTCCGCGACATACTGCTGTAACGCGCTCGTTATCGCGTCGACGAGTACATGATTAAAAGTAGGGTGAAACCAGTCGGAGATGAAACCTTGTTCCCTACTCGTGGCCACGACTTTCACCCGTTACCCCCCGTACCGTTACTTACCGATCGTTCTAATTTCAATATTTTCGCTCGGACTGATTATTCAGGACAGGGAGGGATACAAGTTCTCCACGCTGCGCAAAGTGATGAGAGAATTGTTGGATTGGCGGCGACAACTTTTGGCCGGGACGCTCACCACCGATCAAACGCGAGAGCTCAAGCTGCGAATTATCAACAAAGTGGACTGGGGAAATCGGTAAGTTGAAATTGAGAATTCGTAAACGGTTCCGAGCACAAAAATCGAGTCGGTGGTCGAAAGCGGAATAATACACGCCGTTCGTCTCACCGATTTCAACCGTATACTTAATGGAATTTATTGAACGATTACGAACTTCCTCCTATCGTTGCTTGCTTCGAGTTTAACTCGCTGAGAAATTACGCGACAGGGACTACAGGATCCAGCTACGAAACGAACCATCGGATAAGATAATTGGATTTTATAGAAAGAGTATACGCTTTATTCTACAATTTCTCGTCTCTCGTTTTGTCTTTCTCTGTTTGCTTTTCGTTACACATCTAACGTTGCACGTGTTGGCAGTCTTCGTGTCGACTTCGTGTGCGCAATCGTTACAAATGAGCATTTTCATAATATATATATATATATATATGGCACATCTGTCTCGATCACCTTAAACGTGTATATCACTTGGAGCGCGACTAATAGTAGCGATATAATATACTTTAACAGCTAAACTACTAAATAGTTATCAAGTTAATGTTGTAGTTGCATATACTTAGATCGGCAGCATTGTATTATTCTCGCGGGTAATTCGAGAAATCGTTAGAACGTGGAAACGAACATGAGCATTGAACAGTGATTTCTACGCTGCGAGGCACATATACGTCAGCCTTATTATGCTTCGTTTTTTCCCGCAAAACCTTCCCTCGACGTACAATTTTGTCAAGTCGAATTTTCGACGAAAGCTCTTTAACGCGGAAGAGACGAGCCATTCGTCCAAGTACAGGTCTAATCTTTGTCGAAATTATACGATAATGGTTGTAAGTAGAAACGCGACAGATCGATTCGAGTTAAAATGAATTTGACGGCATGTTCCATCGACAATTCGATAAATTGAGATTGTCAAATTTCTTTCTATCCACGATTCTTTACCAATCTGTAGAGATTCAACGAGGAATATTGCTGCGAATAATTGGGAATGCCCCAAAGTGTAGTTTTGCTAACGAAATCCGATATTACCAGGCTAATCCTTTCTGCAGGATATAACATCGTTCACGCCAACTTCGTTACGATAATCGCACCAATTAAACGCAGATATAAAAAAAGAAGAGAAAAAAATTACTAAGCCCTACGAGAACGAACGCTTGCTCTTGTCTACTTGTTTTACGCAGGCACGTAAATACGTACAACATAGTTGCAGAACGATTACGAACGGACGTATTTTTTTTTTTTTTTTTTTTTTTTCGAAAAAAATAAGGACTGCATAGTCTGCGCACATGTCACATCGAATAAATTTACCTTACGTTCAGATATAAAGAAACGTAAAAAATATAGCAGCTCTTTCCCAACAATCTGTATCCCAACAAACTTTCGCTTCTTTATTTCTATAATCTTTAGAAAATCTAACGCACAGTCTCTCTTCTATATCTATAACTGGAAGCAACAATTCTCCGATACCACGCTTCCCCGTAAACTATTACGAAACGCGGAAGAACATTCATCGATGCTATCAACGAACGGTATTGTAGCGTATTTCATTGATAGACAATCGAGCCGCAACGGAGAGCATCGAACACAACTCGACGCACCCTCCGATGGAAAAAAAAAAAAGGCACTTATTTCATCACGATACAGACATTACTACAAAAAGGAATGTGAACGTTTGACGCGCGTAGGAATCCTGGATCACGATCGATTTCGCTGGAATAAAAAAACTAGGAAAACCGTGCGCGTTCACAGTTTAAGATCCCGTAGCGACGAATCCGTCGACAGTGTGCTACAGTGGTGGTGGTGGTGCAACGTTCTGCACGGGCAACGCTCAGTCTCGTGACTGCAGGATGGTAAATGCGACAGCGTTGCGCAACATCTAATAGAGATAATCGACGGACACTTGTGCATGTGAAATTCGGCTTACTATAATTTCACAGCGATAAACCACCGCACGCGTATATACGTATCGTCGAGCCCGAAGCATCGCGCGCGCGCGCGTTATCGTCTACGTTATATATTCGTTCGACAATCTAACGCTAGTTTGTGCTATGGACGGTGTAGAACACGGGCGCTATAACAAACTAGCGGGATCTTTCTTACTCTATCTTCCACCTGGCAAGCAAGTCTCTGGAAATGGCAAGATCCAATTACATCTTCCGTCGAATATGGCGAAACAACCGTCGATAGCACAAACGTTTCACTACGAGACCAAAGATGTCGGAGGCGTACACCTTCGGTATTATCACAATATAAAGTGGAAGGTGTTGTAATTAAATCTCGGTGTCTTTCGCGTATTTCTCGATCTCCGGATAAATGGGCGACATCTCGAGGGTGCTAGGCGCCGAGGGCACAGAGGTGGGTGACGCTCCGCTCGTCGTGTCGATGTTCAAGTTGCGGCAAAGCTCTTCGAGCACATCTTTGAACATCATCACGTTTATGTTCTGTCCCAACAGATGAAGCAATAGGAAGTCGCCAACCTGGAAATTCAAATACGAGTAATGGATAAGTGTTCGTTATCAAACCGGTTGTCAGAGGGAAACACCAAGGCTGCGGTACTTCCTTCTGTGCGAGAAAGTCCGCTGCCTCGATCGATAATATACCTGTGTTCTTCTGATGAGCGTGCTAGCGGTAGAGGCCGTGTCGAATTTGAATCGTTTCACGAGGATCGTCTCCCGACTGCTGGGTAAAAGGACCACTGCCATGCTGTAGAGCAGAGACACTCCGGACATTACAGCCAGAACGATGAACCAGAACCATAAGAAGATGTAGATCTTTTCGTTGAGGATGTTGAGAGCGAGGACACACAGGGCGTCGAACTTTTGAATGGACCCAGAAGCACCGAATTTGTGGAAGGTACATTTGGTGACTCGTGGGAACACTTCGACCATAGGATCGCTGCGTTGCTCCTGGTTCATGTTGCTGAACTTCAACACGTCCGTGCCGTAAGAGAGGAAGGCTCCGCCGAGGAACATGTCGATGAAAAATATATTGCACACCTGAAAATATCGACGTTCTTCTATGAAAAAGTTCACGTTAGACGTTAAGTTAATTTCCGTGTTTCCCTCTAAAGGCTCGTAGGATCGTAAAAGGCTAAACTTTTCACCGGTGTGTGTATGTGTGTATGTTTGAACGATGAAATTTCCCAGCCACGGGAGAATCAGCTTTGAACACGGTTTGAGAGAAGCGCGCGCGTTATTAAAGCGACGAGGCGGCGTGGCGGCAGAAGGGAGAGAGCTTTTACGATCGGTCCATAAAGAGGAATAACCTTTTATCCGGAATACGACAGGTTGGAGATGTACGTACCACGTTAACGAAGTTAAGGGCCTCGCAGAAGAAGTAACCAGCCGCGTAGGTGTTGTGCAAGTTCAACGTTTCGAAGATGTAATGGGCTAGTCGTTTGGATTTCATTTGTCGCTCGTTCTGGTTATCGATCAGGGCCCCCCTCATGCCCTCGGATATCATTCTGACCTTGCCCTCCTCCCACTGCTTCCATACCCAATGAGGTATGTAAAAGAGGATACCTTGGAAAAAGAGCATGAAGGGCACCCACTGATAGTAAGCGTGGTACCTCCTCTCCCCGATGTCGCCGCCGAGGCCTGGGTGGGCCACATGGGTGCCCACAGGTTTCGCGTTGTTGTGCGGCAGCGTGAACGTGTACGTGATCCAGCAGTACGTGTTTATCACGTTTTCAGGCACCCCTCCGTCGCTCAGACAGTTTATCGGATCACCTGCAACCAGGTGTTCGTCGATTATTCCCTCGAAACGCGTTCTCTCTCTCGAGGGTTAATCTGGCGGAGAGATAGGTGTATTCTCGAAAAGATCGGAGGGATTTGTGAACGTGACGTTTGCGGACGACCTCGTTAGACGCGCCGCGCCGTATCTGTTTAAATTATAAGCGCAATAGCGCGGAAAATTATGCAACGACCGATGATTGCGCGTAGTGTGAGCAGAGAACGTGGAACGCGTGTTGGAGCGCGAGGGAGCTCTGATAACGCGCGACACCGTGCTCGGAAATCTGGTCTGGAGGCCTCGGTTGTGCAGTCACGCCGAGCAGATGTAGCCTGGGTCCGACGATAAATAAGCACGCGTGTCCTCGAAACGAGACACCGGTTTAATCACGACCGTCTACGCGCCCTACGCGCCGTTACTTGCTACCATTTATGCAACCGCTCATCTTTGACCCACTGTACCCTCGCGATAAGAGGATATCATTTTTCCTCCTTAATTCCCTTACAGAACGAACGATTTGTCGGAAACGACGATAAACAATCGAGCACCCTCTTTCGGACCCTCTTCGTTTCTAACCACTATATACTGTATAAAGTAGATACTTACGCGGTTACACAATCTCGAGGACTTTGACCGTCGTAAATTGGAAATGCAAATATGTACTTTTTATAGATACACGTAGATACTCGTCAAGATTGTGTTTGTAATTCAGAAATAGCTCGGGACGTCTTAACGCGATCGACCGCGTTACCATTTATGCGCTAGATTAATGCTTTAATTCAACGTAGTAATTCAACGTAGGCCTACTTTTTTCATCTATCGACACCGCTCTCGTGTTCAGCTCTCCAGCCGTGAAGTCTGATACACGCGTTACACGTGCAAACTTGCAAAATCGGTGGCAGACGGAAGAAGAAAAGTTTGCCGCAAGTTTTTTGCGGTTCGCCGCGAAAGTCCGCTGCTTACCTATCAAGCTGTTCGCCGAGACGATGATGCAACAGGTGAACAGGATCGCCGAGGTGATCCTGTAGTGTGCTCTGAACACCATATTGTCGATGATCGCCTTGTCGACCAGGTATCGTAACTTGACGAACCCGGCGACCGCCGAGAGCAAGCCGAACACCACCATTTCTGCCTTCGATCAGCGTGTTCCTGGAAACAATCAAACGATATACACACGTTGGTCGTGGGTTGATAAACCTCCAACAGGTTACACCGGTAAATACAAGAGATAACCGCGCGTCGCTGCCCGAGACGAAGTTAACGCGTTCAATCGACGATCATCTCGTTGAGACCTCTCTCAGAACTACCACGCTCGAAGGCGGAACGATCGTTGCCGTCGTCGATACACAGGCCACCAACGCGCCGGCATTTACATTCTTCCAGTGTAAGTCAGTCGTTGCACACGGTGAGTCAATGCACTTGGGAAACGGACAAGCTCCGAGTTTGCGTGACTTTTAACAGCGCACACACCGTGTACCTTGGCTTTTTAATCGGTTCAAGCCTCGACACCCTCTGCAATTAACGCTAATAACAGACCTCGAGGAAATTCGTCGTGCGAAAGATTACGAGCCTGGTGGATTTCTCTTATCTCCGGAGGAGGAAAAATCAGGGAAGTAAGCGAGGTTACTCGAGAGAGAAGGGCAGAAGAGGCGAGAAAGGAGAGCGCGATCGCACAGCGGGACCGGAAACGGCAGATGTACGAAGAGGATCGATACAGAGAGGACCGCCACGCTCTTCAGACCGTGGAGATTGTTCTCGTGGCGAAACAAAAGCATGCGGCCGGATTTTCGTTTCTGCGTGAACAGACGCGAAATGCCATTGCCCTTTCAAGCTTTTTCTCTTCCTCTCTACATTCGTGCACAGTTACAATTTACCCAATGGACGTTTCGAGCTTGAATTAAGCGCGCGTGTAATTAACTGAAAGTTTCGCTTGGCAAAAGGAGGTTTGGACACGCGCGCGCGCACATCGGGGATTCCTGATACCAGTCTTAAATAAGGCCGTCAGATCCGAGCTAAAATAGACGGCTCGTAGGACGTAGCAAGTTTATTAGTTAATTAATTGATAGCAGACGGGGCACGTGCTGTTGCAAAGGGTCAATTTGCAAGCGCACAGGACTGCCAACGCGGAGACCGTGTTCAACGTCGCGGAAAGTGAAGATTTTGCGAGCCTGCGATTTCGCAATTTTTTTCGCGGAATAGCCACGTCCACGAGCAACCAGCACGCGATCGTGTGTAATTTCAGAGGGCCGTTTCAACGTGATGGGTGATTTAAAGCGTAACCCCCCATCCTACCCTCTCTAATATCCTTTAATTATTCTTCCTACGCTTTAGCCGAGCGCGCACCGTCGCTCCCAAGTGTTTGCACGCCTCCGTTAATTAACCAATCGGATAAACCAACGACGCGTTTAGTTTACTTGGGAAAGTTAATGTCGTTCGAAAGGGATAAAGGATTTTCGGTTTTACAATTACTCCTTCGCGCTTCTTCGAAACGTCCTCGGTTAACGAACATACAAGTCGAACCAGTTACTCGGCTGTTTCTCGTGAAACGAGAGAAGGGGAAGCACGGCTTCGAGTGGACACGCTGACGACACGAGAAAACGCGACGCTTTCTACCGCCTCCAACCTCTCCGGCGATTATTGAAACGATTCGTTAGACCTCTTCGAGGATTCCTTCTCTTTCATTTTATTCTCTTCCTCGAAGATCGCACGGAGGAGAGACGACGCGAGATCAACCGGGTCTTCGCCGAATAAGGAACCAAACCTGTTCTTCTGGTGGTCTAACTCGATAGCAGCGATTCGTGTACTTACGACGACGTTGGGTGTTGCGGTTACGAGTCGCTCTGAAAAACGGTCTGCGCCTTCAAAGGCTTTAGGTCCGAACCTAACGCCCGACAATTACCGCGGTGCCGTATCGTTTGCATTCGGAGTCGATTCTACGCTTTGAAAAGGTGTCTCAAGCGAAGCTTTGCGTTTTCTCGCGCAGCATCTCTCCGCCATTCATAGTGTAGTATTCTTACGTGCTACGCCTGGCGAGATAATCAATAATTGCGGCCGCGGTTTGATGTATGGGGCCGCGCCGAGGAGCTAATGAAGGGTAATGCCTACTGCGGGAGGCTGGGAGAATTAAACAGGACCGAGATTTACGCGCGCGTTTCATTTACCGATCGTCTTAATCGCGAGAATCCCTTGGAAATTTCCGCGGTTACCTTTCCTCTTTGCCGAAGCCAGCTTAGAGGTGAGTTATCAGCCTTCGCTTATTTTCATAGGCTGACGCCACAGCGCTGATGCAAAGACATTTCGCGGAAAGGATAATGCGGGGAACACGTTTGGGAATCGGGGCTAATTCGAGGAATTTTCACTTTCTTCGAGTCTAGACGTGTCTTCGAGTCTAGAAGTGGAAAAAAAGGTTGCATATTGTGAATGTACAGTTGCGGTCGTTAATTTCCGCTCGCTTTTAAAAGAGTATAATTTTTCAGAAATTGAACCAAATGACACGAGTTTTTTTGACAAGTTAGAAATTTTATAACCGGCTTAATTCTACAAAACGCGTGTTTCAAATCTTCTTTGTTTCCATTTAAAAATTCAGTAAAAACCGCAATTGTATATCTACGATAAGTTTCCACACGGTTTAATACTTCTTCCACCGACTGTACGCACGGAAAGGAGTATTCTGTAGGTGATGGAGGTTTTTGTCGAACAGCCATTGTATTCGAATTTAATTCGTGTGCGTCTCGTGGGCGTAATTTATACGCGTTCGAATCGATTCGTTTGGACGTTGGTCGCGGCACCAAAGTCCCCGGGAACAAATGGTCTTTGTTGGCGGGGTGGAATCGTGGAGTCGGCGAGCTGCGAGGCTGGGCCAGCTACGGAGAGCGAGTTATGAAAGAGGCCAGCTGGCATTTAGCCGGGCAATGTTCTCCTGCGCACTCCGCCATCGTCTCGTAATTTATTCGACGCTGAGGGAGCTGCGTGCCCGGCCTGCGAGGAGACTTTGTTAAACGTTCATCGAGGTTCCTAGATAGACCTTGATTAATTACGTTCCCCACGTCAACGAAAACACGTTCTCCAGAGACACGCGAAATCGCTCGTTATCAATTATGTATACGTCGACGATGGAACGAGGTAACGGTGTCTCTTGGAAAGATAAAAAAAAACGACGAGACGTGGGGACGAGTCCAGTGACTCTGCGTGGAAAGGGGATTTACAGTTAGGCGTTTGCGGTAACCGCGCCTCGGAACTTTGAAATCCTCCGCGATTGTCCGATCATGCCGCGACACTCCTTCGTCGTAGTATTATGCCTTCGATCGACGTCGAGTTAACCGAGTTAGAAACTTTAAACCAACGAACAGGACGCGGAGTCGATCGATCGATCGGAGAAAGCTCCGGTTTTTCTTCGTATTTCGCGCCTCGTCGAACCGTGAAGCACGACTGTCAGGGGCAGCATCTCTTACTTTTTCCACAGCACTGCTACGTAGGAAGAAGAGGCTACGCGTAGTCCATCCTGGATGCGTGTAGACTTCACGGGGAGACCTCCGAGGCGTGAAATTATTACCGTGTCGTAGGGAGAAGAGACTTTTCTCTCTCTCTCGTCTTCCGATAATACTTTCACCGTGTCGTTGCAACTCGTCGTTTCGAACGCGATAACTTTTCAACTTGTAACTGTCGGGAAACGGGAGCTGAAAAACGAACGATAATGTTGCCTGAGAAGGCGAGTCATTGGCAGTGCACGCTTTCACGTGCGTAGTGCCGTAAAATTGTTCAAGGTTGTGAACGCGGTGTGCTCGAAAAACAGCCCGGCCCGGTGATTTCAACGCCTGCACAAGCCACGCCAACTTCGAGGTCCGAAAACTTGGTCCGTGAATCGTATCTCTGTTATCGCGGAGGAACAATGTTGCTGGAGAGTGAAGGGCGACGCTTGCTTGCCTCGTCATCGAGTGAAAGGTGAACGCCGGGCCGTTTTTTTTTTCTTCTTCTCTGCTCCATCTCGACGCTGGGTCCTCGATTACCGACGTGTGATTACATTAGTTGGATAGAACGCGAGAGTCCGGTGTAATATCTCTGGTATCGAGATACGCGACATGGAATGCTTGATCAGCGGCGTGAAACGAGGCGAAAAAGTGAAACGGAAGACTGGTATCGTTCTGAGATAAAACAAGCGATACTCAACGAGACTACGGAAGTAAGTGTGTAATGTCCACCGAGTACTTGGTGAATCATGCGTCGATTCGATACCCGTTCTCAGAAACGAGGCTGTGCCAGAAAGACGAGCCGAATCGTAAAGAAGAGAGAAATAGTACAACTTTGACCGCGGTACGTGTATTGCATTTCATAGCTCGTCTTCCTTAGGAAGGGGGCTGTGCATCGACGACTGCAGTATCGTACAGACGCACACGACGTCGTGTAAACTATTCTTTAACGACATGTACACGCGACTGGCGTGCATAAATATTTAGGGTGCATTCGAAGTTGACGATGCTTCTAATTATAACCTCGTGAAACGTTACATCAGGTTTGTTACATGTACGTATATCGTGGAGCAATGTTGAAAATTGGAAATTTTAAGTTGCGCCCGTGGCAGAGACCGGAGGTTCGTTCGATCCTCCGGGACTCGCATTCCGGATAAACCAGTTCTGCGACAAACGCGCCAGACACCCCGCGTGAAACGTGCAGCCGTGTGCCTGATGCCTTGCAACTCTTCTCGGACGAGGTTAACAGCCGCCGCCGCCGCTTTCCCCGTAGATATTTTTCGTCGAATCTTTACAGCAACGAACCTAACCTCGAAATCCCTTCCCATCCGAAGCTCTGGAAGGTATATACGCCAAGTTTGAAACGTCGCACGTTTCTTCGAAACAATATCGCGGAGGCTGCATTATCTCCGTCAAAGTTTCAACGAAACGTGGTTAAACTCGGATCTCCTATGTACACAGACGCCAGTTTACCGTCCCTCGACCGTGTAGATAATGCCGTATATTTATGGAGCTTTGTATGCAAGGGTCCCCTCCTTTATCGGGATTTTATCTTGCGGTAGAACCTGGAAGCGCAGGATCGGACCTCTGTCGGTCCTGCAGCTAAGTTAGATTTCGAGCTTGTCGATAATGCTCTCTCTTTCTCTCTGCAGCACGATTTTAACACGTCTCGATCGAATGAAACTCGAGGCGATTTCAGCGACACCGATTAGCGAAGGACAACGTTGGTATTTCAGGTACAGTGGAAAGTTCGAGAGAAATCTAACCTGAGATTCTCAAGTCTCGTTTGCAATTCATCTGGCATTTATGCTGGCATATATTATTTCATCTCTAAACCACGTATTCCGAAGTACTTTTTCCCCCTTAAACGTACGAGCGATTGTTTAATCTTGGTTGAATATGTAATTAAACGCTTTCAACGTCTCGAACAATTAGGGTCGATTGAACGACCTTACTAAGTGGTGAATAAGGCTAGATCGTACGGAAAATAATTCGTTCGAATGGCACGTGGTAGCCGAAGAAAATTGATAGATTCGTTGTGAAAGGTTAGTCCGTGTTTACAATATACAGTTGAACTTACGCTATCCTATCGCTGAATAAAACGTAAACAAAAGTATCGCGATTATGGCACGTTCGTATCCTTCGTTAATTCGCAACTCGTTCCCGGTCGCGATTACATTGTACTTTAACGTCTTTTGACCTTTTTAAAGCGTCTTTCGCGATAAGAATTATCGAGCTAGTGGTATGTCTGCGTACGCATGCCATTCGTAGTGGTACAAACCTCGAGCTCGTAGATCTCTCGTACATTCGGAAAATCGATCGGATTTCACCACCACCAGAGCTTTAACCGTCGTATACGACGTGGATAAAAAGAAAAGGATCGCAAGGTTCGTTGAAAAATACCTTTTCCTCGAATTTCAGCACTGCCCCGGCTATTTCTCGATAATCCACACCGAAAACCGAGTAGATCCGTTCGATTCCGTGGTTGTTTTGTTTTCCCACGAGCCGATAGAGCAGGAACCTGCGCTTACTGATCGATTGGGTTTTTTCAGCACGTAGCCGCTTTCCTCGAAATCTTCTTTCTTCTCCTCCTCGCGACTCACACGCTTTCAACCACCGACTCTTGAATCACCTCACACGAGTCACCGTGTTTCGTTTGGCCGTCGATCGCACGCCTCGGATTCGTTTCGACCCCTCGTTACCGGGCTGCTCGACCGAAAGTGAGAGAAGAGAGAGGGAGAAAATAAGAATGATGAACACGTCGTGAGCAGAGTTAATACATGACGCAGCACGTCAGATTCACTCTCTTTCTCTCTCCCTCTCCGGGCGCAGATCGATATGTTTTTCCAACTTAACCGAGTCGGCACAAATCAGCGTATTTTTCGAAAGAATTTCGAGGCTCGAGGGACGAGGCCGCGGGACGCACCAACGGGGCCCGGCGTACGAACAGCAACTGAACCGAGAGTCAGGGACTCGTTCTGGGCCCCACCGCTCCCCGCCATCTTGCCTTGCCGAGTTCCGAGCGTGGGGGGTGACTCTATCAGGTGCCGCGCATAGTCGCCTTGGAAATCACCAGCGCGACTACGATTCATCGTGAATCGGGTGTATCGTTCGTTGCTCTTATCTTTACCTTTCCTTCCGGATCGTTTATTTTTACAGATGTTTTCTCTGGAGAATTAACCTCTGCTCGGTGACTTTCTCCCACATAAACCTTATTCCCTAGAACTTGTTTCTTTCGTTGTCATCGATGATATATTCGAAATAACTTGGAACGTGACTTTCAAATACTTACGATGTAATTACTTCAAAAAATAAACACGGTAAATTGTTGCATATTTTATTTTCTACACATTTTTTCTTACGAACTTAACCTAAAAGTTGAGGAAAGCTCGCTTCGTGTATGTTCGAGTTTGAATTTTCGATTTGTATCATGTGTCTGCAAAGCGCAACCGCAACCACAGCACTGGAGAAGAGAGAGGAGCAAACGCTTGTTTCTCTGTCCAAGTGGAGGCTCAAGGTTTTCAGCTTGGTGAATACGCGGTAACCATGCCGGGAACCTGTTCCCCCTACGAGCGGAGACTCACTTCGGCTCTTTAAAGCCTCTCCTCATGCGTCCTCCCCTTTCGTCCTCCTTTCTCTCTTTACTCCTTCGATTTTTTACTGAAAAAGTAACATTACAGAATCGACGACGTTTTATTTTCATTTATATAGGGAATCTAACGAATTTTCGTTAACTGAACTTTTGCGATATCGATTTGTTCAAATTCATCGTCGTAAAGGTTATGCGCCGTTTTCAATCGAAAGATAAACTATTTAAAACAAATTTCACGATATCGCTGTACCTCATCTGGAAAGCCTTGTCCTCTAGATGAACGTAAAATTTGCATAACCTCGTTTAATCAATTTCTGATGTAATATCGGGGAACGCGTCACGATTTGCGCGGCATACACGCATGAGTAACGGTTCTGCGCAATGACCGCCAACTGGATTTCTTCCGTGACGTCTTTTTGAAAAGTTACCACCGCTTACGTGTCAACTGTTTGCTGGATAGTTTCGGATACTTAAACGTGTCAGGGGACGAGAAAGAAATTATTCGACCGAGAGTATTTCATTTATTTAATTACCAGGTGCCAGTGGTGGTTATGTTACTTCTCAGTTGAGTATGTATCGCGTAAACGGCAACATTTATTACCCGCGTCGTAGTAATTATTATTATTTCTAATGAGCGTGCCTTGCGGCTCCACCTCGCGTGCACTGCCCTCTGCGCATCTCCCTTTCTCCTTTCTCCGTGGCCATCTTCCTCTCTTACCCATTCGTCTTCGTTCCTCTTTCGTCTCGATGTTTTGCTTTCTTGTTGGGGTAACGCGGTGCTACGGGATAAAACTCTCGACCACATAACCGCGTTCGAGTCTTCCGTTTCAGGGTTTCCCAATCCTTCGAATTCTCCGAATTCATCGACGGGTTACAGACGTGGCTTGGATTACGCATCTTCCGAAAAAATGTTCGTCTATCTAAATATAAATCGTCTTTACTTTTTTTTAAATCTACCAACACTTTTTATTTCACGTTATTTCATTCGACGTGTTCGAACACAAGTTCTCGTTATTATTTCGGTATATTACCTTGTGACGCGTAACAAAGTCCAATAACCGTGGACATTATTTTCACATTTAGGTTAGGTTGGGTATTATGCTAAGTACATATGTAGTTTCCTAATGCGATTCGTAAATAATAGAAATACGTGTATTTATATACCAAAGGGGAAGAACTCGTTTCGAGAACGGTGTCGAGTGGTAAAGAAAAGGTTCCCGAAGGTTGGGAAACGCTGCCTCTATTCCCCGTAAGGTATTCTCTTTCTTTTTGCCTTCGCCATGGCGCGTAGCACGGTGCTGGCGTTGTTTTACTCAGCTCCAGGGCTGTACGATGAGAGGTAGCGCGTCGTAAGGGGAAAAAGCGCTTAGGTAGGGAGGAGTTCCATGGTACGAGGGGCTACCGACGCGCTGTTACCTCGCTGAAAGAAATTTAATGAATGGTAGCGATCGTCGAACTTAATAAACGTGCACCTGGTATCGCGAGCTCGAGCTTTTCATAGCTCCCTTCTTAGGGGATACCGCCGGGTACCATTTGGATCGTGCCATGGTCCAAATCTACACTCTGTCGCATGATCCTTCTTTACCATGTCGGCCATTGTGTTCCGACCGAGGCGACGTAACAATTGGAAAAATATATATGCGAGTTAACTGAGCCCTACTTTACTGACAACAAACAACTGCAACAATAGAAATATATATTTTATTCTCCCGTATTCTCCGATTGGTATATAACGTCAGTGTGAATAAATACGAAGTAAAAAGAGTTGAAAAGGCTCGCGTTGTTGTTTAGAAGCGCTTAAGGCGGACGGGAATGCATCTTTTGTGTCCGTCAGAGACGAAAAATTGAAAGGTTCGCGGCTAATCGCGCTTAATCAGGCGTCATTTGATCTAATTGAGATCGTGGGGGCTTGGGGATTTGGCCCTGACATCTATTACTACGACCACCGCTGGTATCTTCTGCCGGAGCCCGACGCGCGGCGCGGCGCGGCGCAGCACGGAACTGCAACTGCAGTCGGGAGCGTAGCCACGAGTTCCCGCGATCGCGGTCGAACGCGTCGGTGCACGCTCGGCTGCGAGCGTGTGCGTGTACCCTCGGGTAAACCAGACTCGACGTTCGTCTTCCCACGAACCCTTTGCTATACGTACGAGTCTCGTTATTCGTTCCGGGATCAGGAAACACTCCTATTAAGGCCGTTTTACACGGTCGCGAGAAACCACGCTGCACAGTCGAGTCCAACCTCTACAAATTTTCCCCTTTCTTCTAATTCATTTTATTGGCTCTAATGTTTCCTATCATATGGAATATTCTTTTGTTTGGAACAACCTAACCTAATTTAAACTCGACTGTTTTACCATAAGAAACATTCTTCCAGAATATCTTTAAGTATGTAGATACAACGAATGAAATGTCTCTTTGGATGAAACCACTAACTTCTTTACAGTGATTTCGATTCTCCGTCCAGTGAGAAGGTGAGGCGGCTGGAGCTAATTACTTGAAACAACATTGCAAACCGAAGCGTGGAATATAAAGACAGCGCGAAGAACGGTGTGAAGCGAACGAAGGCTGATAATTGATTGTCAGTTTGAAGCAGAAACAGGAGTCCACCGACTCGTAGCAGCACCAGCGTAATTACAGCGTTTAAAGCTACCGAATGGTTACCCAAGTCCACGAACGAGATACCACTTTGTTGAAAATTTCACCGCTGCCAGTAGGATTTCTCTCTGCTATTAAATTATTCATTTTTCCAATCTCTCTGGATTTCGGCAAAGAGATATTATCCGAGACTGTGGGTGCGCGTAAATTAGCCGGGGCACGAACTATCTTAAAGTTGTAACGCGATGTCTCTAAAATTCACGTCGAGTGAAACTTTTGCGGTGTAAAACCCCAGCTCTGTTCATTCGCGTGGTGACCCAGGTAGTTGAAGGAAACTAACGCCTTAACGGAAAGTTCTTGCCCTAATAATTTATCGCAGATGGATGGTCTTCCTCGAGGTTTTTGCTCGAGGAGAAGAAAGCGGGGACCTTTCAAAATTCGAGACATTACGCCTTGGAAAGTTCTGATAGACGAGCGAGCAGAAGTTTCCATCTACGCTTTTTTCTTCCACAAAAAGGAACTTTCCGCGCTGATAATTCTTCGATCGTTTAATCGTCGATAACCAGTTTGAGCACCGCATCCTCGATTCCCCGTTACCACTATTCTCTTAGATCACCTCCGTTTCGATACACCTTGCACGTAACGAAACGCGCGTGAACTGCAGACCGATCTTCGGTGAAATTATAATTTCCAACCTCGAGTCCTCTGTATCTTCTCGCAGGAGAGAAAGGAAGGCTCTTCCTCGTGGAGAACCCGGTCCGAGGAAAATATATCCGATATCTTTGGAATGGGACATAGGTCGAAAGGATGCGGCGGACATTGCCTGTACCTGTCTCCACGCATCGAAGTCTGCCTGCTCACCTGCATTCCATCAACAGGGGCCCGAGGGGGGCGAGGGGCCTTTCAGGACTCTCAGGCCCGTACCGTGACGGCGGACTGTGAAAAGGTCCGCTTGACCGTTGAGGGAAAATTCGAGAGACCGTAAAATAAATATCGCGGCGTTAGTTTGCTTTCGGGATAGTTTTAACGGAGCTCTGGTAGGTCGAGGGTTCTGCCATAAACTTTCTGTCTCTTGATACCTGCGGTAATTCTATGTAATATTTCTAGGTATCCCTATGAATTATGGAGCAAGTTTGCGAAGAATACTTTGAAATTTCTGGTTGAAATATTTAAAAATCCCGTCTGGCGTGAGAAAGTTTGCACAATTAGGTACGGCCCTATACGGTGAGTTCACGAGGACGTTGGACGGTGCACCGAATCTGCAGGATCGGTGACGTAGCCGCATGGAAAGTAGAGGAGAGGATAATGGCGGTGGAATGAGACAAGGAAATTCAGGGTTTACGCTAGTCGCGTCCTCGTGCGAAACGTTAATTATCGCTTAACAGCCACTGGTTTCACCTCCCTTCCTCGTGCCAGCAGATCTTTCGTTTGGCGTAGCACGGTTTTTGCATCGCGGAAAGAAGTTAATCGATCGGTCACGTGTCGGGATAATTTCACACTTTGACGTTGTAGGTAAAATGTTAGCTCCGGCACACAGCTATCCCGATCAATTTATACGAATTTGCTCGACGATTAAAGCGCCGCTTCGCTTTCGTTCCACCGGTTCACAATGAATTTAGTTTCATTCTCTCTCGGTGCATTTCAAATATATTTCCACGTTTGTCAAATATGTTTCACTGCGAGGCAAATTTTCCAGGTCATCGGAAACTATGCCAGCCATAGTTCAACGCGTTTCATTTCAGTCAACGTTTGCAATTAACGCCGCTATTGTATTTCGTAACGTCCTCGTGCGCATCGCACGACATCCTCTTCAACCACAGATTGACTTCTTAAAAGCGAAAACGCGCGTGTCTGTCGATGCAAATTCTGGCACATATGCATGTAAACGGGTCGGCGAGAGGTGAGGCGAAGCGAGGAGAGGAGAGTATAGGCTGCATTAGGGGCCACGCGAGGACCCTGGCGAGGTAGCTGGGCCTGTAGGGCCCCAATGCGTTCGAGAACACGTCGGCCCTATGGCATGCGGCCGTCCGGGGTCATGGGAAGTTAAGTATACCGTGGCAGCCACTTCAGAAGTAAAGTTCGGAAACCGATGCAATACTCCTCTTAATTGGATCACGCACTACCCCCTTGATTTTACTCGGTTCTCTGACTCGCGCCAGTCGAGTAGAGTCGAGTCGATCGTCTTCGACGATGGCCCTTCAACTCCTTTGATAGCTGTGTCTACTTCAGACCAGACCAACGCGAAGAATCGTCTGGCCCCTTAGGGGCGTGTGGGTCGCCCGTAGCTTAGGATTTCATGTTTCAGGGTTCTCAGAAATTCAACACCCGTTGAAATCACTTTACCTATTGTTCATTTGAAAGTGTAGCAATAGAAAAGCTTGGTTCGTTGTTTAGTTTGCTAAGTCACGTATAATTTTGTGTTGCAGAAAACTGGGCTTGGATCTGGTGCCCCGTCAGGGTGCCCATATGGTGGACCCGGATACTATGTCAGTCGTGGAACTTTATCACGTGGTAATTACGAAAGAGTATTTTTGGATAAGGATGCGGTGTAACTTTAAGGTCGCCAACCTCTTGCATTTTTCACACAATACGTATACGGCTGACTGTGCATCGAGAGAGGGGGAATAAAATAGGAAAAAGCGATGGACGAGCTCGATACTTTCGAAGGATAGAGGGTCGGAGGGAGAGAACACTCGAGCGAGCATACTTCGCTGTATATCGCTGAAGCTCATTGAAATTCTAGCCAGATTGCTGACCATTTCAAATACTCGGCAAGAATTGAAATGAAGTCAGCCTCGGGGTATATTCGGTGCACGAGCCGCGCGACATGAAATTTTTAACGTCTCCTCCGTCTGATCGAAACTCCTCTATTTGTAATTCACCGTTTAGATATTTGACCACAGAGCAGCACGGCGTTTCTCGAATATAAACGATTCCATTTCAGCACGTACAAAGCGCGGAAAACTCGCAAGGGGCCTCGGCTAGAGGAACGCTGAGGCGGAAAGAGCACAGAAAGGTCCTCACGCATCACCTCTACTTCTGTATGAGAGATTTCGGCCACTCGATAGGCGAAGACACCGAGATCTACTTCTCTTTGTACGACGCGAAACGGAGCCAATACCTCAGCGAACGTTTCCTGGTGAGGATCTCGAAAGAGGGCTTCTCCAGTTTCATCGAGAAGATCCACAGCAACTGCACCATCTTCACCGACCTCGGTAACTCGGACCTTAGCCGGGATCTGTACATGGTTGCACATGTAATGCGATGCGGGAGAATGCTGTACTCCGATTCCGGCAAAAACAAAGCTGGGACCGCGACTTACAGGAGACCCCACGGTGTCGCGGTACTTTCCCTCGCCGAAGCTACGCAGGACCACACGGAAGAGCTAGAGATGACGTTCAAGGTAAGCTGCACCGTAGTAGGATTCTTAGAGGATTCAAGATTCTTAGACGAAGCTTTCGTTCTTTTAGGTGTACCAAGGGGAGGAGAAGGATTTTCACCAGCTGCACGATCAAATCATTCGCAACAACAAGTGTTCCCCGCTTCCTGGTCAGCCGAATTACGGAATAGTGGTTTCTCTTCGTGTGCTGCACGGAGAATTGACCCAGGTGCGGGAGGAAAATCCTCTGCTCTTTAAGAATATCTGTCTGACGAAGAAGCTAGGTTTCTCCGACGTGATTATGCCCGGTGACGTGAGGAACGACTTGTACCTGAAACTGGAGCGTGGCGAGTTCGAGAGGGGTGGAAAATCAACAGGGAAGAACATCGAGGTATATCTAATTACCAACGTCGCGACACCAGATACCATCTGTCTTCGTTTACTTCGTATCACGATTGAAGAATCGTTCGATCGATAGGTGACGATTTTGGTCTTGGACACGGATGGACAGCCTCTGGAAGGGTGTCTGTTTGGTGCTGCCGGAATGGAGGAAAGCTCTGAATACCAAAGTTTAGTGATATATCATCACAACAGTCCGTCGTGGGCGGAGACGGTACGATTGGCGATACCAATCGACAAATTCTACGGGAGCCACGTTCGTTTCGAGTTCCGACACTGTTCCAGTAAGTCGTTGGAATTTTAGGTTTTTACACTGTTTCGTGTGCTTCTTGACGATACAACCAGAATTTTTAACGCAGCACGCGAGAAGAACGACAAGAAACTATTCTCTTTCGCCTTCGTCCGTCTAATGGAACCCGGAGGAGCCACTCTTCAGGATGGTCCTCATGAACTGTACATTTACAAGTGCGAGGATCGGTCCAAGTTGGACTCGTTAAGTTACCTCTCGTTGCCCAGTAGTGCTCGAGAACCAAATGCAACAGGTAAAGTTACATTCGAAGCCTTCCTCTTCGACTCTGAACCGGTTCACTTTACCCTTCGTCTGTTCTCCAGGCTCTCCAGCGTTCTCCAGGTCTCCGAAAGAAGCAGTATTCGTGCACACGTTACTTTGCAGCACAAAATTGACGCAAAATGTTGATCTGCTGAGCCTACTCCAATGGAAAGCTCACCCAGAACGAATCTCAGAGGCTCTAGGTCGCGTATTGCGACTGAACGGCGAGGAATTGGTCAAGTTCCTGCAGGACATCCTAGATGCGCTGTTCTCCATGTTCCATACGGAAGACGGTAACTCTACAGCCCATTCTGGCTTAGTTTTTCAAGTTCTCGTCTCCATCTTCAGCCTCCTCGAAGATTCCAAGTTCGAACACTTCAAACCAGTGATGGACGCCTATATTTCCGGTCATTTTGCCGCTGCATTGGTGTACAAAGGTCTCCTGAGCAGCGTGCAACATTGCGCAGACTGGGTGACAGCTGCGGAGAAGCAAGAACCTATAATAAAGTGTTTCGGTTCCTTGGAGTACATCTTCAAGTTCATCATTCAGAGCCGTCTATTGTTCGCCAGGGCAACGGCCGGTCAATACGAGGACAGCTTCAAGCGAGACCTCTACTGCGTGTTCGCCGCGCTGAACAAGATGCTGGGCATTCCGTATGAGATGGTGCTTCACTCTCAGATAGCTTTGCTCTACTCGATTTCAGCTGTGTTCGAACAACTTATCGCTGTGCTACCTATACTCGAGGTGGCTAAGCTCACCTGTACGATGCTCGACGCGGTTCCACGGGAACCGCCACTGCAGCTTACACAGGCGAAACTCACAGCTATTAAGAATTTAACCACGTCTGCGTTGTTCCGCGACGACGACGAGAGCAGAAATCTACTCTTGGTTACAATGTGTAGACACCTGAGGATTCATTTAATCAGACGCGAGGAATTGCGCTCTTGTACCGAGATTCTTGGAGAGATCCTCAGTTTTCTGCACAAGAGAGGAAGAGACACGAATAAAGTGAACAACTGCATTCATCACGACGTTGAAACGTTGTGTCTCTCTATACTAGATGTACTGATACAGACCATTCTGATAGTCATAAACACGAATGGACCAGTTTTGGGCTGTTTGGTAGCGTGTTTGATAGGACTGCTTCAACTTCTCGACGAGTATCATTACGCTACGCTCTGGGAGGAGTTAGCTCACGCTGGTGAACGAAAACCACTGAAGGATTTTCTTCTGAGAGTCTTCTTGGTGCTTCGTGATCTTGTCAGACAAGAAGTATTTCCACCAGATTGGCTGGTGATTCGAATGCAGGCGAACAACGTTATTCTCAAGTCTCTACAAGAATTAGCACAGCCTCTGGCTTTTCGTTTTCTGGACGGTAGCTTTGATTCACAGCTCTGGTCGACGTACTTTAATCTAGCGGTAGCGTACCTTACACAGCCATCTCTGCAGCTCGAACAATTCTCAGAAGTGAAGCGCGAGAAGATCTTGGAAAAGTACGGGGATATGAGAGTATTGATGGGCTTTCAAATTCTCTCGATGTGGTCTCGTTTAGGCGATCGTAAGTTGGAGTTTATCCCTGGAATGGTCGGTCCTTTCCTCGAGGTCACTTTGGTTCCTGAAAGTGAACTGAGAAAGGCCACCTTGCACATCTTCTTCGACATGATGGAGTGCGAGCAGCGAGCTAGAGGTAGCTTCAGGTCCGTGGAATCGGAATTGATCGATAAATTGGATATCTTGATCAGCGAGAACAAAGGTGACGACGAGTACAGGCAGTTGTTCAACACGATGTGAGTACTGACTCTCCTTCGTTGAATTTATTTTACTTCGTTTAATCGTTGTAATTTTACTCTTTTATTTGTAATTTCACGCTGCGTTAGGGAGCATCTTAGCGCTGTGTAAGTGCATTGTGAAAGATTCACGAGTGTGAACTGCATGTATTTTCACGAGTACGTGAATGGAACGTTTAAAGCAACGTATTCTATTTTTGTCCGCAGATTATTGGACAGAGTTCAGTCAGAAGATCCGGCGTGGAAGGACAGCGGAACCGCTTTCATCACGTCAATTACACGTTTGCTGGAAAGACTGTTAGATTACAGGAGCGTAATACAAGGGGACGAGAATCGCGACAAGCGTATGTCGTGCACTGTTAATTTATTGGTAAGCGAAAACTATCGAAAGAGAAATTTCAGTGAAATGAAAATTCAACGGTAAATATAGAATTCTTCATCTTTTTTTTTCTTTTTCTCGATAGAACTTCTACAAGAACGAATTCAATCGAAAGGAGATGTACCTGCGCTATATCTACAAATTACACGATTTACATTTGGCGGCTGAAAACTACACAGAAGCTGGTTTCACGATGAAACTCTATGCTGATCAGCTTGGTTGGGGCTCGACGATCTTACCTTCCGATCATTCGCACCCTCAACAGCCAGAATGGCAGAGAAAAGAGCTGCTTTATCATAAGATCATTTATTACTTGGATCGAGGAAAATGTTGGGAGAAGGGCATTCCTCTGTGCAAGGAATTAGCAGTATTGTACGAGACTAGATTATACGATTACGCGAAATTGAGTCACGTGCTGAAATTGCAAGCGAAATTCCTGGACAATATATTGACGCAGCTTAGACCGGAACCGGAATACTTTAGAGTAGGCTTCTATGGTCTTAGTTTTCCTCTCTTCGTTAGGGTAGGTATTTCGTTTCTACGTGTAAGAATGGAATTTAAACAGACCGGAATATAATCCTTCCTTCGTTATGATCTTGCAGAATAAGCTATTCATCTATCGCGGTCTAGAGTACGAGAGAATAGGGGCATTCACGCAACGACTACAGACTGAATTTCCAAGCGCACAAATATTAATGAAGAATTCTCCGCCCGACGAGAGTATTCTTACCTCCGAGGGACAATGTAAGTCCGTTGTTTTGTCTCCTCGTTCACAATTAACCAATGTTCACTGTTGTAACGTGTATTTCGAATGAAATTTCAGATATACAAATCTGCAACGTGAAACCAATACCTGAAGAGAGTAGTTTAGCCTGTCGAGGAGTGGAAGTCCCAGAGAGAGTGGTTGCTTTCTACTTAGTGAACGACGTAAGGAAGTTCATCTTCGATCGACCGCTACACAGAGGTCCTGTCGATCGCGAGAACGAGTTCAAATCTCTGTGGATCGAGAGAACCACCTTAACCACCGAGGCTAAGCTACCAGGTATACTCAGGTGGTTCGAGGTGATCGAGAAGAGATCCGAGCTACTGGCGCCTGTACAATACGCCTGCGAGACTATGCAGAGTGTGGAGAGAGAATTGAGGAGACTTGTCGCACAATTCACTGCCGAACCTCAACGAAATATAAATCCTTTTAGCATGAGACTTCAGGGCATCATCGACGCGAACGTGATGGGCGGCATCACTAGATATCAAGAAGCTTTTCTTACTCCCGAATTCGCTAGGCAAAATCCAGAAATGGTACCTCACGTGAACAGGTTGAAAGGTTTGATACTGGATCAGATGAGCGTGTTGGAGGCTGGACTGAATGTCCATGGGCAAATCGCTCCCGCTGGTGTGCAACCGTTGCACAAAAGATTGATAGAGAGATTTATACAGTTGAAAGAAAGTCTTGGACCATTGGCGAGGCAACGAACGATCCATCAAGACAGTATCGTCAAGTAAATATTCGTTGTACATTCTGTTTTTCGAAGATAAAGGTTCAAGTTTCGTTTATTTCATTGGAGCGTTTAATTTATTCAGTTCACCGCTACCTCCGTTACCCATTAACGAGAAGCAACGGCCAGCCACGCTGGAAACTGCAGGCTCGAGAATCTCTCATGCAGACAGCGACGGTTTACCCGAAGACGAAGGTTTTTACACAAAAGTGGACGGAGGTCCGCCACCTATTCCACAACGAGAGGTGCGACCTCGTTCAGTGGGCTACGGGACTACCCCGCCTAGACCAACGCATCAGAGATCGCTGAGCAAACCGTTGAGCCCAAAGTTACCATTGAGACATTCTTTACCGACGCCAACGGATGGTGTAGACCAGACTGGACTGAGAACTTCCTGGAGCGAGCCTGGTCCCGAACCAGCGCCGCCGTTACCACCAAGGGGTTGCAGTAAGTTTAAACACATTGCCTATTTCTCATGTCCACGTAATATGGAATAATCTGTAGTTCCTGGACCCATAAATCACGCGTGGATTAAAACTTTTGAATTTTTCAGCTTTCTCAATCATTTTCAACGTTTCAGCGCCAGACAAGAGAGATTCGAACACGAATAACGTCGTACCACCCGCGCCACCAAAGCGTTTAGCGTGCAAACGTAATACAGAGTGGAGTACCGATGATGATTCGGAAATGCAAAACGAACCGAACGATCTTCGCGACAGTGGTATATATACCGCCAGTTTATCAGACTTTCAGTCACACATGAGTAACTTAAACAACCTCGGCTACGAGGATTTCGAACCACGGACAAGGTGCAACGATATCATGAACATTTCACCGCCGTCTGTGATAAACGCGCTGAATGTTTCTACGGGGAATTTCGCGAGTGGTACATTTCAAAGTTCACACTCTCTGCCAGGTCAAGAGGTAATTATATCGATTGCTAACCTAATTCTCTATGCGTACTATTATAATTATCGAAATAACGTTCAGGTGAGTCCACCACCGATACCTCCAAAGGCGCATCAAGACACACCGTCGGCCCCGTCGACGTTGGAAAGAGTCTCGAATCGTTCACAGTCCCACGGTCACTCGGAGAATTACTCGGTACCGAAGCTTCAAACATTGTCAATGGCATCTGACACAGAAAGCACTGTGTAGCAACGATCAATCTCCTAGTCCTAGCAGTTAATTGTGATGTGCGTGTGCCACAGTCGAGCAGATCTGATTGTAGAAAAGAAACTTGGAGAACTCCACACGATTATCGGCGAACACGTTACTAACAATTCAAACTAATTGGATTTGCACAGCAAAGTTTCGACATTTGCACGTCATTCTATATACATACATATATGTTATTATGCGTAAGTGAATCCTGTAATAATCGAAATGAAATCTTCCAATGCGTAACTCGACATGGATTACACCTACCTGTGTATAACGTACCTTAGTAGAACGCGCGTATCGAAACTCTGAGGATAACCAAGACTTGGTAAAAATACTTGGAATCATTCGTTCGTATTCGTATTCAATCGAACGAGGAAGGCTGTCTGGTAGTGCTCAGCGTTCACATCATGCCGTGCTGATTTTATGTTAAAGACGACGATCTTCCGAATACTAACCTAACTATATTTTGTAATTTATTTATATTTTCGATGAGAATAAAGGTAATTTTTATCAACGAGGCTGATGCAGACTCACGTGAACACCGTAATATCTAAGCAGCTAGCAAACAAAAAGATGGGCAGAGAGAGAGAGAGAGAGAGAGAGAGAGAGAGGGGGGAATAAATAAACAGGATATAGAAAAAGTCGCAACCGCCGGATGAAGGATATATATAAATTATGTATTTTGTCACATTCTTTTCATATAAATATATACAAAACTATGAAAATTGCGCCGCAAAGTTGTACGCTTCTTCCATGGCATGTATAAGACATTGTAAAGTTCTTTCAAAAGGAAAAAATGGGGGGAACATTAGAGAGAAGATAATAGAATCTAAATATAAAAAATGGAAGTGGAATGTATACATTGCACAATACTGAATTAAGAAATTAAGGTACTAGAGGAAGTGATGTTAATTACACGAATGATGAAATGAACTAGAGATCATTTGTCTTCCGGTCGTTCGTCACGATTATCGTCTGATCGAGAAATCGATAAACCATGAAGAAATCGAAGGAATCGCTTCCGAAATGAAGCTCAAAATCACACGAAACAAAATAACGACGGGCGTATGTATATAGATACGTACAGGCACTCACACATACATACTAATCAATATGGCTAACGTAAGTACAGTCATGGCCGCTCTTAAAATATACCTTAGACTTTGTACGGTGTTTGTTTGTAGCACGGAGCTTGTCATACCGACGTTTCCGCATTAGTATCCTTCCTGAAACACCATAAATTAGACGTCAATTAAAAAGAGCACGGTAAAACTCTTGATTCAAAAGTGACGTTGGAAAAAATCGAACACGTGTAGAGGTGTTAAGCATTCCTTTAGACGCTTACCTCTTCACTAATTATTTTCATTTTCCAGAGTAAGCGTAAATTATAGAGAAGATAATACGTTAATTAAACTGTATCGATACGACTTGTCGTGCTGCCAAAGATAATCATACTCACTCGGTCTCTGTTATAGTCTGCTCGTATTGTTGTTGTTGCTGTTGTTGTTGCTGCTGTCGAAGGGCAGCCAATTCGTTGCTGTGCTGGAGATCGTGGGTCAATGAACTGGACAATATTCTACCGCTCATCGGTAGAATATACTCCGGCGAATCTTCCAGCACAGTTGGCGTAATTTTACCTCGCTTCAAGCTACCGTATCTCTCCGAACCGCTAACGTTGTCATGCTGAGATCCATGCAGACTCTGCCCTCTCTTCAAGCTTCCATACCTTTCCGAACCACTGATATTCTCGTGATTAGAGTTTTGCGAGTGATGACTCATGCTGGACGCGAGAATACGGGAAGACATGGGTAGCAAGTACGGAGTAGGCGAGACAGTGTGATCCTCTTCAGCCGTGTATGGGAACAAATACTTTTCTCCCAGGTGATGAAGCTTCTCTTCACCCTCGGAATAATTCTCATCCGGCTGACTCTTTTGTGGCGAATTCATTTCGGGATAAGGCAGTGGGTTCGGACTGGAAGTCTTGTTCGAGGCCATCTCGTTATCAGACATGGTACCTCCTGACCATTGACTTCCGCGTACGTCCATTACTTTACACAAAACAGTCTTGATAATTAATCATAATCGTGCTAATAATCATGGAGACAGACGACGATTTAACGACGGCTTACCGTTTGATGATAAATACGCTTCCGGTAACTGAGAACTCCACCTAGGCGCATAAATGGGTTTAATGTTCGGAAAGAGTTCCGTGTTTGAACAAAGTATATTCAAGTGTTCGGTAGGATTGCTGTGAATGTTTGGTAAATAACTGTGCGTGACAGGTTGCTGCGCCGAAACGCCCATATTTCTGTGCGATCTCGACGTGACATCTTCTTCGTCGGAACTATGCGAACTCGCAAGGTCTAAACTCCTCCCACCACCTTCAGCTTGTGATCCGTCCGAGTCTGATTCGGAATCTCTGCGTTGATTCCGTGGTTCTGTCGCTTCTGTCAATTGTTGCGCTACATGTAAGATTGTGCTAATTGTTATGGTAATAAGGAATCACTCGATGTCAAAGAAAGTACCTTGTCTGGAGTGTAAAGTTGATCGGTGACTCCTAGAAGACATGTAGGGATCTCTGTCGCTATTATAGTTGCTCGTGGATGTCGAGGTATGTCTTAAATGTGTATCGCTACGATAAGGACTGGACCCAGTTTTATTTGTACTTCGTGAAGTTGTACTGCTCGTCGAAACTCCCACGTGAACCCTTCTACACACGGATTCCGCTCCACTGTACGTTGACGAGTAGGCCAACGCAGAACGCTGTAACATTGTTGTTAGTTAAGAGAATTAGCTTTCTCGCTCTTGATTCTCAACGCAATTGTGCCGGTTAAACTTATTCAGGGTATTTACCGAATGGCCATTCACATTCTGACTGCTGCTTCCATTTCCCATGCTTCCCTCCAACAGAGGTGTCTTCTTTCCAATACACCTTAATAAACTTAAGTACAGATTTCTTCGTACTCTGCCATTGATGAAACAGTAACCGACCAAGCTGAATGCTGCATGGACGACTACTGCTATACTGAGCAGGTACGACAACATGGGAGAATTTTCAGACGCGTTTAGAACAGTCAGGGTCCACGTGGAACCAAGTAGAGGCAACGAGGCTACGGATAGCCAGAGCAATGTCCTTAAATTTCCAAAACCCATGATATGTTCTTTTAAAGTAAAAGCAGCCCGTATCGACATGACGAGAATGCAGGAGTTGACGAACACTGCCGCGCAAACTGGTCCAATTAAAGACCAAATCACAGTTTCGTAAATTGACAACCAACAACTGAAACAAAAGCAAAAGGAAAAAATTGTAATTAACGAATACTTCGTTATTAAGAAGCGTAAGTAAAAGAGTCGAGAAACGTACAAATAAAAGTTTCCATATTGGTCAGCTCTAACACCAATTGTCAATCCTACTATGATAGCTGGAGCGCCATACCCCATTGTGTAATAAAACCTCATCTGTCCGTGATTCACGTCTCTCATTTCAGTCAGCATACGATAGAGATGAATGGAGTCTACTAAAGTCCACGAGAATGTACTCAACCAAGCGTAATGTAGACCAATTGCCGTCAGTTTACACGGAAACTCATTCGAGACTAGAGGACTTCTGGCTTTCAGCGCAATCAAGTACAACATCTCGGCGAAGAAAACGCACATCACCAAATTTTTGTGTATACTATTGGAATTTGTGCCACCGCCACGTATCAAGGCCAGAATTAGCAAAGCGGATAGAAGTAAAGGCAACGCGAGCATAAACGCGCTGTAACTCGTTACATCTTCTAAAAGAGACGGTTCTGGGACGTATTCCAGGTCAAGTACGTCTGTCAGTACTGCGAAAGTGGATAGTTGAAAGCAAGAGCAGTTTACAATTGTGCCAAAGGACAGCGAATCATCCTCCACCTCTGTAGTACAACCTAATCGGCTCCATTCACCACCTCTGTAATAAACGAACAAATTTCAGATAAGATAATTGCTTCGAGGAGTGTTCTCAGAATACTACGAAGTAATACCCACCCTCTAACTGTACTCCAATGTACACACTGTGGATTAGTTCTAGTTTTCAGCTCGTCTTTCTCACTGAGCCAAAGACTAATCTGAACAGGGGACTGTAGGGGAATGCCAGTCAGAGACTCGTAACCGTTGTCGGTAGGTATTAGAACGGACACTGTTACGACTGGTGAACCTACAGCTACTTCTACGCCCCATCTAACTGCCACGGAATCGTCAAATCTAAAAAAAAAGAAAAAAAAATATCCATTAATACATTTTTTTTTTTTTTTACATGTTTAATTAAACGAAAGGAAACAAATAATGATTTACCTCTCAGGCAACAGGGCACCTAACTGCTTATATTGCACGTAACTCAACACAGCCTTTTTATTGACCAAACTTTTCTTAACATTTAACTCTCCCTGCATCAAGGGTTGGATGCCTAACACGCTAAGAGGCACTCGTATCTTCGAGTACGGGTCGAATTTATTTGGATCGGCCATGTAATTATTATACTTTGGGAAAGTAATCGAAGGACCAAAATGAGTAGGCGACGACAAGAATTCTGAAGTATCTGGCAACACCACCTTCTGATCTGCTTCTGTTGGTCTAGCCGTAGAGGCTGACGGATCTTCCTTGTACTCTGCTGTTTCGTACCCAAATAAACTTTCCGAAGTTACCACGTCCAAACCTAATACGACATTAGTGTCGACTACTTCAAACGGATTTGTGAAAGTATCATGTTGGGAGGCGGTCAAGGTCTTCAAATAATTCGCCATCGCGTCCAGAACTTTGTCAGGCGTGTCACCATTGAGAGTCTCGATTCTTGACCACTTCTCTATGTATCTTGCTTTGAAAATGTGGCTTGAAATTCCAACCAGATGGGACACGTAGTCCTTATCTTGACTGTGAGTCAAATTTAATCCAACCAAGCTCTCTTCGTAGCGCAACAGTGCAACTAAGAAGGACTCTGCGATTAACAAGTCGGCACCGTATAGTTCTTTGGTCACATTCACCGCTCTGTGGACATCCTTCGCTATCTTAACAGCGACGTAAGTGTTCAAGGTCAAATCCTTGGTTTCTAGAGCACCTAGTTGATGTCTCTGCTCTATGAAGGCTTCTGAGGTGCAGTTAAAGAGATCAGGCTCCTGCCAGCCACCCAATTTGTCGTCGCAAGACCTAGAAGTCTTTCCTTCAGCCGTGTCAGGACAATCTTCCACAGCGATCAAACCAAATTTCGTCCTAGGCCACCACAATCCCTCTGCGTAGGACCTCGGACACCCGTCGTACACTACTTCGCATCCGCGAAGAGTGACCTCGGCGTAAGGATTAGGACACGCTGTGCAAGATCGTCCAATCACGCCAACTCTACATCTACACTGGCCGGTCTCGGTGTCGCAGCGGGGACCGAAGCTTCCTGTCGCGTAACATTCGCAGGGAATACATTCTTTCCCGTCGGACGGTTGATAGTGATTCTCTTTACAATAACATTCGCCGGTGGTCTTGTTACAAGCAGGGTCGTAGCCTTTAGATTCGTCACAATGGCAAGGACCACAAACTGGCGATCCCCACCAGGTTGCAGGACAAGGTTGATCTGCCTTGATTTCGCAATAATCTCCAGAATACTCGGGTGAGGTGCATTCACACTTGTATCCCCTACGAGACGTAGCATCCTCCATACACGCGCCGGTGTTGTTACAAGGGTTCAAATCACAGACGCGCTCGCAGTCGCGTCCGACCCTTCCAGCTGCGCAAACGCACTCGCTCGTCTGCCACTTGGCCACGCAGATCGATGCCTCCGGACAGTCGACGTTACATTCTGCCTCTGAGGTGCAGCCCGTCGCGACGTTCTCCTGAACCGTCGGTCGAAGCAGTACGCTCTGATTGTTCCCTATACGAATATCCTGGAGGCAGCCGTCTAAGAACGGCAGCTCAGAGTTCATCGAGTGTTCTGGCCCACCTACGAGAATCCTGCCTACGTAGAGACCCTGTAATTTCGCTGGTAAAGAAGAAGATATCGGTCTATTGCGGTAATCGATGTCCAAAGAAACGTGCCCGCTCTGCCAGAGGATTTCGACTCTGTGCCACTCTCCATCGGCGATGTTGCTCCACGTCTGTATGATCTCCGCGCCGTCCAACAACGCGACCAACTTCCCCTCGCGAATCTCGAGCAGCGTCGAACTGTTCTGCCCTATTTGCACACTCATGACGAACGCCTGCTTCACTCGTGTTCTTAGGCTGAGCGCTGTTAGCCAGGGTAGCTGAATGGGTCTGAGAAGGGGATTGAAGCTGAGCATCCCGTCGCCGTGGAAGTTCCACGGTTTGCCTACTTCGTCGGCGCAGGTAGGTCCAGCATAGCTCTCCTCGCACTCGCAGACAAACCCCGACCATATCTCTCGACACTTGCCGTTGTTCTTGCACGGTGTGGACGCGCAGAAAGAAGTTTTCTCGGGGCAGCCAGGGTTGGTGCCGTTATCAGCTACGAATGAATTAAGATCGATGAAAACATGATCGATGTAAAGATCGCTGATACAACCGACGAAGTCTTTGTTTCTAATCTGAAAGCTGGAGGGTATAGCGGGTAGACCGCCTAATTGGAGAGGGCCTGTTAGGTCGAGGAAGCGATGACACGTCTCGGTAACGATGCTGCAACGTTCTTCGAGCACTTGTTCGCTTCTTCCTGCGCAGGACCACCTTTTACCCAGTCTTTCGCCGTATTCCAAGGCTAGAGCGACGTCACAATTGTCCAAAGAGATCGTCACGGTCTTGTTTATGTAGGAGACTTCCACTTCGTGCCATTGGCCGTCGGAAACTTCGCCCGGTACACTGGCGCTCGCCCGAGTCACCTCATCACCGAGAGAGAAACTGAATTGTACCCGGGAATCGATTATCTCCAAGGCTATGAAATCGTGTTTCTCGTTGTATCGGCCGTTATAGAGTAGAAGACCGTTTGTCGCTTCTGTGGCGAATCGTAATTTAACGTGCAGCCTGTGTCTCTGTCTCAACGAAGCGAACGTGAGAAAGGTTGCAGATCCAAAGCTGCGAGCTTTAAGCTCGCAGAGCGGTGTCACGTTCTCTAGAGTGGTTACAGGGCATCCTTCACAGGTGAAACCACCTGCAGTTTTGATCGTACATTGTGAACCACCTTTGCAAACCCCTGGAGCACAAGAATCCTTGTCTAACGATATCTCGCAATTTTCTCCGACGAATTCGGGTCCACAGGAACACGCGTATCCACCTTCCCTTCTGTAACACGTGCCGCCATTCACGCAGGGGTTCGAGTAACACAAATTGACTTCCGTGTCACACAAGTAAGACTCTTTACTGCCGGTGAAGCCCCTCGCGCACCTGCACGCGAACGTTGTCACCGGATATATCGGTCGGAATAGTACAGTGTCGCTGCTAGCGAAGCCAGAAGCGTTTCCAAACTTGAGAACCGTCAAACATTCCTCGAAATTCAAACACGGCTCTCTTACGCAGAGATTGTCGTCGAAGGGCAATACCGTCACCGTTGCGAGTCTCGCCAGGATGCCTCTGTTGAGATAGACGCGTTCCTGAAGAAACTGCGGACTGTAAAATTCGTCCGAGACACCTGGTTCGACCTTCCGCGCGGAGAAGCTGACGTTCAGAATTTTCCCGTTTACATTTGCGTCCTCTTGTATGCTGAATAAGAAGATATTTTCCCTGGGACAGGGGATAATGGCCGCTAAACCGTCGAGAAAGTATCCTAAGAGAGGACTGAGGAAAGCTTCGGCTGTCATGTCGTCCAATCGGACGGTGATAGAGTTGAGAAGCATCTTGTCGGTGATGAGCCGCACAGAAAGAGTCATAGTGGCCTTGACCTCGTTGATACCATCCGTGACGGACACCTCCATGGTCGCTACGCGTGGCACGTTGGTATTCAACTGTGGCGATAGGCGGATCTCACCGGTGGTTCTGTTCAGGTCGATCAAATTTGCGTTGTTACCAGCCAGTATAATGTAGGTTAATTTGTCGGTAACGTCTGCGTCAACCGCGGGTATCTTGCCTATAGGCGCAGTTGGGAAAAAGTCTTTGAAGTTGTTGAAGATAATCTGAAAGTCCTTCAACACCGGTGCATTGTCGTTTACGTCGGTGACCAGTATCTGTACCATAGCGTCTGACCTCAAAGGAGGCGAGGCGGCACGCACGACTAAGTCGAACTTTTTCTTCGGCGACTCGTAGTCCAGTTCTTCGAGCGTGATCAATTCCGCGCGGTCCGCGCCTGGTCTGATATTCAGGGCGAAGCTGTTCGAATCCTCGCCTCCTATAACGGAATATTGGACGACAGCGTTTGGCCCTTCGTCAGGATCGTGAGCGTAAATTTCACCGACTGTCGAGCCTATCGGAGAATTCTCCGCTATGTAAAGGACGATCTTGTCGTTCTCGAACGCGGGTGGAGAATCGTTCACGTCCTCTATCTTGACGATGAGAGGTACAGCGGTTGTAAGGGAAGGAGAACCTCTATCCATGGCGACTGCCTTCAAGGTGTACCTCGCGACGGATTCTCTGTCCAATGGTTTGCCCGTCCTGACTATTCCTGTAGTTGGATCTACAGCGAAAGCACCGTCACCATCCTCGTCTAACATGTACCTGACCTGAAACAGTGGAACGTTGATTTACCGCGTTGGTTGGCGATTTTTCGTTAGATTTGCCGCGGTACTGAAGCGAGCTTACCCTGCCATTAAGATCTGTGTCCGCGTCAGTCGCGGAGACCCTTAAAACGCTAGTACCAACCAAGACATCTTCCGGAATTGATCCTTGGTACTGAGGAGCCTCGAACACCGGGGCATTGTCGTTCACATCGGTAACAGAAATCTCCACGTCGGTAGTATCTGACAGTGGAGGTACGCCTCCGTCTCTAGCGGTAACAGTTAACAAATACGCAGGTATAAGTTCACGATCGAGCGGTCTAGTGGTCGTGATAGCGCCAGTTTGCGGATTTATAGTAAATTCGGACACCGTTGGATCACCGCCGTCCGTATCTAAGCTATATGTGACTTGAGCATTTTTTCCAACGTCAGAATCCGTCGCACTGACAACTAGAACCGTAGTACCGACAGGAGCATCCTCGAATACGGAGACCGAGTAGGGCGCGTTTTCAAACACCGGTGAAAAATTGTTCGCGTCAGAAATGTTGACGTAAACGAGAGCTGTGTCCGTTCTACCACCACTATCAGATGCTGTCACGGTTAACACGAATCTCTTTTCCTGCTTATAATCGAGCGGTTGAGCTACCGTAATTAGCCCTCGTCCGTTTTGAGACGCGATGGAGAATCGACCTCTTGTGTTGCCTGCGGTAATTTCGTAGTGTATCCTGGCGTCCTCGTCAGGATCGGTGGCTGTGACAGAGGTGACTGGAGTGCCTGGAGGATCGTCCTCAGACACAACTGCCTCGTAGTTTTTTGGATCGAAGTAGGGATCGTTGTCGTTCACGTCGGTCACGGTGAGTATTACGGTAGCACTCGCAGTCTTCGGTACTTCCCCCGAATCCGCAGCTATCACGGTGAACTGGTACCTGAAGAAAACGGCGAAAGAATAATTGGCGAACGTAACTCTGCCGAGAAAGAAAAGGAAGTAAGAGTACCTACCTAGAACATTGTTCACGATC